AAATCATAGGTGTACGCTAAAAACAAGATTGGTGACAGTACACCACCTTGCGGAACACCGCTAGTGCATAAGTAGCGTTTCGAAAAGGCATTTCCAACTTTTACGCACATGTGCCTATCGCTTAGGTAGGAGCGTATCCAGTTGTGGATAGTACCACTACACCTAGCTGACATAGTTTGAGCAAAAGTTTATCAATGTTCACTCTATCAAAAGCTTTAGGACAAATCAAAGTAGATTACATCGACACCTTGACCTTTGTTTATGGCTAAACTCCAGTCAAAAACGCAGTCAGCCATCAAAGTACTTGTAGAAGCTCCCGCCATGAATCCGTGTTGTACCTGTGGGATTAACATGTTCCTGCTGAAGTGCATTGCAAGTTTGTCGCGTATGAGTTTCTTCCAAGACTTTAGCAGTAGGTGAGGTTATACTGAATGGGACGAAAAGATGACACCTTATCCGGTTTTGGAACTTTCGGTATTGCCGTTATTATAGACTCTTTCCAGATGCAGGGGACCTCAGAAAACATCAGGGATGCATTCAATATCATACAGATGGGTTTATACAGAGAACGGGCGCATTTTTTCAACACAATCTGAGGAATACCATCATATGGAGAGGAACAAGAGGTTTTGAGAGACTTCAGGGACCTATACACTTCTTCAGGGGTAACAGTGATATCAGGGAAAAGGTTTGGCATGCGACTGTTTTCAACGACCTCCTCTGGGGTAGCTATAGGCATTGTATAAACGGACGCGAAGAAACTTGCAAGCGCTTCAGCTTTGTGAATATCAGTTATGAACATATCACCAGTATCATTTTTCAAAACTGGTATGTTCAGCTGTGGTCTCATTTTACCTCTGATTAGTGCAAAATGAGCTTTCTTATTTGCTCTAATAGAGCTGCGTTTTTCATGGGAGGCAAGAAATCTCCGTAGGTGATAGTCGAGCTCACTGCAGATATGTTTATAAGAATGGATTAACAGAGGGCAATCCTGTAGTTTACTGAACACCCGAGCTTTTTGAGCCATCAGATTACATACGTGTTTCGGGTATCGTAACCTTGGCACTCGCTTAGACTCAAAAGGCACATGTTCAGCAAAGCCAGAGTACAAAATGCGACAAAATCTCCGATACAGATCATCTACCGAATGATATCCTTCAAAAGCACTCCACCAGTCAATGGAAGATAAGTACTGTGAAAGGGCAGGGTAGACGGTTTTCGCAAAATCGGGGAGGGGAGCAGTTTGGGCTCATTCAACGCAGTAGAGATCTCAAAAGAAATAAC